TCGTCTAAAGAACCTTAGAAATAAATTTTTCAAAAAGTTCAGTATGTTAAATAATTCGAGGCATTATGAGTTATATACTACATACAAATATAAATTTTATAAGCTTAATAATAATAATAATAATAATAATTAATAATAATAAATAATATTAAAGTAAACCCGAAAAATCCAGCGGTATTCTCGGATGATTGTTTTGCTGCCTTTCAAATGGGCTGTCAGGATGATACAATCTATACCGATTTTTCTAAAGCTTTTGACAGAATCTCACATAAAATTCTGCTTATCAAACTTTTCAAGCTGGGCTTTCGCTCTGTGTTCCTAGGTGGATTGAATCTTACCTGCACGGTAGACAAAGCTATGTCGTTATTGATGACATTTCTTCTAACGCATTTGTTCCAACCTCTGGTATCCCCCAGGGAAGTATACTGGGTCCGCTGCTTTTCATTCTATTTGTGAATGACATAGAATCGTGAGTTTCTTTAGCTAAATTCCTAATGTATGCGGATGATTTAAAAATCTACTCGGTTATAAAAAATGCTCGAGACTCAAGTAATCTGCAAGCGGAGCTCGATATGTTGTACCTTTGGTGCACTAAAAACAAATTGCCGCTTAACATTAAGAAATGCCACCAAATGACGTTTTCTAAGCTTCATAATCCTATGTTAATTATGTTGTCTCTAAATCTTACTCGATGCTCGCGTTTCTACGGCGCAATAGTTCTTCGTTTTCAGATCCGTACACTTTGAAACTATTGTATTCGTCCTTTGTCCGTTCGATATTAGAGTATGCCGTTTTCATTTGGAGGCCTTACCACCAAAAACATATAAATCGAAGGGGTTTATCCGGTTTGCCCCACGCTCTCTGCACTTCTCTGAACCTAAGCCTGAGTATAGCTGTCGCTGTCAGTTGATCAACCTCATGACACTGCTCAACAGACGAATACTTTTATCAACCTCTTTTCTATTTAACATAATCTCGGGCACTGTTGATTGTCCAGTACTGTTAGGTACAATTAATTTCAGTGTTCCTTGTAGAATGTTGCGTCATTATGAGGTGTTTTATGTTGTCACCAGCAAGACTGTATATAGCTTCAATGCCCCGGTTAATAGAACTCTCGTCGAGTTGAATAAGCTCTTTGTTTCTTTGGACCTCGACCTCTCATCCACTAAATTTGGCTTTAATTCCCAAGTAAAAACATTATTAAGTAAAAATAGTGCTTTTTAAAGACTACTTACTTTTAAATTTACCTATGCTTAGTCTGTAAGAATTGTAAATTCATAGAGAAAATAAGTAAATAAATAAATGCACAGTTTCCATATGCGCAATTTTGGTGCCCCTATGGCAACATACTTTCGGACTCGCAATCAGCACAAGGAAATCTATCAAAAACAGCTTTAACATTTGCCTCACGAAAATCAGTCTTGCCCTGTGTTATCAATAAATTCATCGTTCATGTCCTCGCCCGTTAGGTTGGTGAAAAACTCTCCAGGCAACTTTAAATTTTCACCGTACACCATTTCTGCTGGCGTAACTCGCAAATCTTCTTTATAAGTTGTACGAAGTCCTAATAACGCTATGGAAAGGTTGCTGATGCAATTACTGATTTCGTGACACTTGATTTCCATCTTTAACTTCCTATGCATGCGCTCAATCAGACCATTCGCTTGAATATGGTACGCAGTTGACCTGAAGTGATTGGCGGCAACCAGGTTCGTCAACTCTTTAAATAACCTCGACTCAAATTGTTTACCTTGGTCGATGGTAATGGCAGCCGGTACGCCAAAGTGCGCTATGCATCCGTGTAACAATCCTTGGCATACGTGGCGAAGAGTCACACCCTGCGAGAGGTGCCCCTGCTTTTACTGAATATGGCGGATCTAGAGAGAGCAACTCGATAAAATCCGTAAGGCCAGGTGTTAATCGGACGGTGCCTGCGGACTGAATGGCACTACGTTAGTGTGTCTTTTTAATGTTGTACTCCAGTCACGTGGCGCCGTCTGGTTTTATTTAGTCTTTCCGGGGTACCGGGGCTCTGCCTCGGATGACCTCTCTCTTCCACCTTACTCGTGGGATTCTATGGAAGAAACACAAATTAATAAAAAAACACAATAAAATCTATGTGCCCTCTAACAGTGGGTAACAGTCAGCAGTCTCAGAGGTGCACGCGATGCCTAACGAGATTGCTGAACAAATGGCGATCGCAGCGGACGAACTAAGTGCAAATCCAAACGGCCAAGGCGCTCAACCCTCTCGGGACGCTGTAATGGACGAAATGGGCTTTGATCCAAACGGCCTTATCAGCAACCGGGTCGCCATGGATGTCGATATTGCCAACATGGGCTCTGGTTCAAATGGCAACGACATCCAAATACCCACAGACGAGGAGGAGGCCCTCTTATCGTCACAGCAGGAGGAAGCTAGCAGGTAAAAAGCGCTACAAATTCTACCTCTCCAGAGGTGTCAGCGAAAGCGATGCCAAACGGCTAGCCATTATTCCGATGGCAAAAGGAAAGGCCGAACTAGCTTTGTTGGCTGGCACAAAGCTTAAGAAGAACCGATCGGTGAACCTCACATCTTCCCCGGTGGAGAACTCTCCCAAACGGAAAACAGGTCCAGCTGACAAAAGGGCCCATATGGGACCAAAGGAACCTAGTGTCAAGGCAACTTTTGCCGATGTCCCAAAGGCGCCGACCTGTCAGGCGGACTTTGGTAATCGGGTTAAGTTAGGGTTACTCCCTAAAGGGTACCCTAAAGCACTTTGGTCCTTAGACCAACTACAGGCCATTCAAGCGGCCATCCTGGATGAGGTGAGGCGACAGCGAAAGGGCTCTGTGAAGCTCAAGTTTAGCGGTTGCACCTTCCGTCCGGGATGGATGTCAATTGGCTGCGGAGACGCTGAAACGCTGGAGAGGCTGCGCAAGGTATCCCAAACCCTGAAACCTTAGAAGGGCGCGGAAATTGTGGCAATGAATGTCACTGACGTGCCAAAACCCAGTGGCTATGTTGGGTACTTTCCGGAGCCATCAACCACTCCAGTATCCTTGGCCTTGTCGAGGGTCAGAACGAAGGGCTGCGGGTAGGTAGCTGGCGGGTGCTCAACAGGGTACAGAAAGGACCCACCAATGAGCTCACCCTAGCGGTTGACCCGCACTCAGCGGAGACACTCGACAGGCTGGGATATCTAGTCAATTATGGATATGGCAGGGTGCGCATCCATAAAAGAGGGAAGACGACTGAGTCGTCAGACCCGAGGGGTACACAGCCTGCTATAGCCAGTTCCTCCTCCACTGCACAAAGTGCTTGCATCAAAGAGGGACCTTGCGGTTGCAAGGACGTACCCAAGGGACTGCAAAGGTTACCTTCAGAGCAGTCAGGGGCAGCGGAGAAGGAAAAAGCACCTGTCGAGGAGTCCATAGAGCGGCCCTGCTGCTCAGAAGGCACGGAAAGGAGGGTACCTTCCAGCCCAGAGAAATCAAAGGCCCCTTTTGCCCGAAATTCCTTCCGTCCTCCGCTAAATGCGAATCGGAGACAAGGTCGAGGGGAGATTTCGATGGAGGAAAAGACCCTCATGGCCACCAATAGGGGGAAAAAGATGGCCAAGCGGGCATCAAGACCGAAAAATTGCAAACCCCCCAAGCGATAGACCTAGGCACATCAAGTGCCTCCAAGTGAACCTCCATCGTGCAAAAGCGGCCTCTGACGTCTTGTGCAGGAGGTTCAAAACAGAACTCTTGGATGTCGCATTCATCCAAGAACCGTGGGTTTCGCCGGGGCTATTAAAGGCCTAAACGACTGTGATGGTAAGATAGTTTATGATACCACACACTGCAGGCCCAGAGCGGCCATATTACTACGTAATAACATGACTTTTGTTCCCATTTCAGAGTTGACACAACAGGACTTAGCTGCTGTATGGACTAAAGTGCCCACTCAAATGGGAGAACAAGAGGTCATTCTAGCTTCAGCTTACCTCCCAGGCGATAGCTGCGGGATGCCCACAAGGGAAGTAATAGCCCTAGAGGAGTACTGCAGAAGGAAAAAGCTGAAACTAGTAATGAGCTGCGACGCCAATGCCCATCGCTATGTATGGGGTAGCTCGGACACCAATTCTAGAGGTGAGTCATTTCTTGAATTTATCACTAAGAACAATTTATTTATTCTTAACCGGGGTAATGAGCCGACCTTTGTCAATGCTATAAGAGGGGAGGTTCTAGACTTGACAATTTCCTCAACTAGCTTGTCGACCTTTATCTCAAATTGGCATGTCTCAAATAAGGTATCTATGTCGGACCACCGGCATATTCGATTCGATATAGAAGCCCAAAGAGTGACAAACCATGTTTACAGAAATCCCAGAAAAACAAACCGGGAACTCTTTCGCCTCCACATAGAGCGGGAAGTGAAGGGTTCTACGGCATCAATTTCATCCGTCTATGAACTTGAGGACGAGGCGAGAAAGTTCCAATAAAGTTCCCTTGGTGGAACGATTCTCTCGGAAAATTCAGGAAAAGAGCCAGGAAACTTTTCAATAGGGCAAAGTCAACAGGTGACTGGGCCGCCTACTAGTCAGCTCTAACCGCTTACAACTGTGAGCTCAGAAGGTCTAAAAGGGCTACGTGGCGTGAGCACTGCGGAAGTATTTCCTCTCCTCCAGAGGTGCATTGCCTTCAGAAGGCCCTTAAACTAGATCATCTGAAAGTCCTATGCACTTTGAAAAGACCAGATGGTACCTACACTGGCACCCCGGAAGAAACCAGCAGGCTTCTGTTAGAAACCCACTTCCCGGGATGTATTCCCCAAGGCACATGCTATTTCAACAAACATGGCGAACTCTGTGTGCGCAAACAGGAGGACAAGAGACATTGCGCATGGTTGTATCAACGCAGAGTTGCATTACTCCGTAACATTCCGTCCACCTCGTCCACTTGCTGTGACGAAATGTCAAGGGAATTTCCGCTCACCATATGCGTCCCTTCATCTTCTATTGGGAGTACAATCAACTACGAAATAGCACGTTTTAAAACAGACGACGCTGTGCGTATAGTTGCTACTCGGACGACACCATCGTCGCCTGGATGAACTTCCTTTATGCGCCCAAGCGGCCAATGAGTAGGAGGAGCACGCTCATCGCGCAACAGCATCAAATTGCCAACCGTCAGATTCTCTTTGCGTTGAAACCATTTATGCCTGACTTGTAGTTCTCGTAAATATTCATAACTCCATTGCTTCCAAAAATCTTGCTGCATTTGTTGAACTTGTTTCCACCTTTTGAGCCTGCTTGTATCAACTTCGAGTAGGCTAGGTTCGGGTGTAGCTAAAATGGGGCCGCCCACCAAAAAGTACCCAGGGGTGAGCGCCGATAGGTCATTCGGATCATCAGTCAAAGCACACAGCGGCCTTGAGTAAAGCACCGCTTCGATTTGCTTTAGCACTGTGTAGAATTCTTCGAATGTCAGCGTTGCGCTACCTATTGTGCGTTTTAAATGATGTTTTGTGCTTTTGATGCCGGCCTCCCATATACCTCCAAAATTTGGAGACCCTGGAGGTATAAAGTGCCACGAAACACCTCGAGTACTCATAGCACTAGCAGCTGTTCCAAGTTGTTTTCGCAACGCAGCGTGGTGTTTTCTTAACTCGGCATTCGCACCAACAAAAGTCATAGCACAATCACTATATATGTCAGAGCTACATCCGCGCAGTGGAAAAAATCTGCGTAGCGCAGCGAGAAACGTTTCAGTACTCATGTCGTTAACGAGTTCCAAATGGACGGCTCGCGTACTACAGAAAACAAAGAGAGCTACGTATCCTTTGTAGCTGTGGTGACCTCTGCCTTTCGTAGTACGAATAGAATAAGGACCGCCGTAGTCCAACCCACTGTGACTGAAGGCTCTTGAAATATTGCATCGCTGGGCAGGAAGGCTACCCATAATTTGTGTTACAGCAGTGTTACGATGTCTAATACAACGAACACAGCTGTGGATATAACGCTTGACATCCGAACGAGAGTCGATGATCCAGTATCATCGTCTTAAAAAACTAAGTGTTGATTAACGCCTCCATGCATAGTACACTCATGGGCTTGAGCTATTAACAATGTGCACAAGGCCTTGTCCTTTCGCAATATGACGGGGAAACGTTCGTATATTGGTATGGTCGCATTTTTAAGGCGCCCATTGAACCTAATAAGTCCATCTTCGTCTATCATCGGGTTAAGCTTAAGAAGCTTGCTTCTACGACTTAATGGCTTACTGCAACGAAGACACGCAACTTCATTTATAAAGTGAGTAGTTTGAACATATCTGATCCAAAACTGTAGTGCCGCAGCTTGTTCTGCAGCCGTACACCATGATGTCCGATCATGAGGTTGTTTTAGGCGTGCTGCAATGAATCGACGACACCAAGATGTCACCGCCAGCAGAGTGTTGATGCTCGAATATTTTTCAAGTAAATGCGTAGCCAGCGAATATTTCGGTTGCGGTTCGGTTGTTGCTAGTGATGTTATGACTTCAAGATTCGATGATGCAGTGGTGACATTCTGCTGTAGCCACTTATCTTCGCCATGATGCAGCCTATCGGGCCCGTTCCACCATATTGCTAAATTGGCAAGTTACGATGGAAATACTCCGCGCGATGCAATGTCTGCCGGATTAACTTTGGTTGGGACGTACCTCGATGAGTCAATGGGTACCAGTTCCTGAATTTGAGAAATTCAGTTGCTGACGTATTGCTTGTACTGACCCGGCCGCGAACGAATCCAACTGAGAGTTGGTTTGGAGTCTGACCAGCAGTATATTGTACTGAAAGGAAGTTGCATAGTTTCAGTGAGTTTTGCCGCAACCTTCGATGCCAAAAGGAGAGATGTTGCATAAACTCATTGGAATTGGAGCTCCATTTGCGAAGCTTGAAGCACCCACGATGCAGTAACTGTGGTAATTTAGACTGAGTGTCGACAGCTTATTCGACTGTGTCACCGCCATGGAGGCAATCGTCCACATAAAACGATTCCTTAAGAATTTTGACGCTGTTAGAAAATCTGTTTCCTCGTCTTCGGCTAAGGTGTTCAGAACTTTAATTGTTATATATGGAAGCATGTTAATCCATATGTCACTGTGAGGAGTCGATAAGCGGCCGGCTGGTCATCACCGCCTCCCCATATAATGTGTTGCATATCGACATCCCGCGGATCGACTCGTATTTGTCGAAAGCACTTCTCTATATCCGCTGTGATTCCAACCTGATGCATTCTCCACTTTAATATGATTGTACTTAAGTCATTTTGCAGCTTGGGTCCAACTTGAAGGCAATCATTCAAAGATAAACCACTTTTGTATTTTCTAGACCCATTGAATACAGTTCTTAGCTTCGTAGTCGAGCTTCCTTCTTTGTATACACCATGGTGGGGGATGTAACATGCATATCGTGGCCCCTTATCTTCGCATATCGCATATCTGTTCCATGTGGCCAAGAGCGATATATTCGTCCACGAACTCATTATACAACTCGTTCATCTTTGCATCGTGTTGAAGGCGATGTTGCTGGCACGTATATAGTTTGATTGCGTCGCATTTGGAGTCAGATAGTGCGGATAAGTCGGAGTCCTCTTTATCTGAGTACCGTATGTGATACCGCCGAAGTTGTCCCTGCGTACCGTTCGTTGAAAAAACTCCTCACAATAAATCTCATCCTCTGTCTTCTTGGATGGAGAAGATATGTCATCCATTTGATTAAATTTCCACATCTGCTGTACCAACGTATTTAGTTCAGCAGTGGCTTGGCACATAGTCTTGCTGAAATCTGCCGACTTACTCCTACGGGTAGGCGGCCGTAGACGACCCACCCTAGATGAGTATTTTGGGCAGTGGAGTCCCACATTTGGAACGCTTGAGTTCGTTGCGCAATAGAGCGCCATAGAGATCTGCTCCGATGATGATGTCGATTGATCCTGGCTCGTAAAACTTCGGGTCTGCTAAGCTGAGACCAAGAAAGTCGCTGTACGGAGTTGGATCAATTCGATTCGATGGCATATTCTGCCCTAATCGAGAAAGCATGAGAGCAGAGCACTCGATGCTGAAGTTAGGTTCGATGAGTGAACACATTGAGAACTTAACCAAACCCTTCGATTCACCCACAGTACTCCCGCCTACTCCGTAAATTGTAACCGAAAGGCGGTTCTTACGTAGATGTGAGCGCTAAACGGCAAACTCGCTTATAAAAGATGTTTGCGATCCATTGTCCAAAAGGGTTCGAAGTTTCATAAAATGTCCGTAAGAGGACCGCACACCAATTCGCGCTGTTACTAATAGAGCTGGCGCAAGTGTTGTTGTTGCTGCTTCGATGGCTTTTTGCTGAGCCATGCTGTTGGTGCATGTAAGGCGTGGGCTAGTAGTGCTGGACAACGATGATAAACTGTCGTGAAGAATTGTATGGTGTTTCTGCATACACTTTTGGCATGCGTATGTCGAGGAGCAATCACTTGCTGTGTGTCGTGCCTTAAGACAGTTTCGGCAAAGCTTAAAGTTTGTAACCACATCAAGTTTTGCACTTGGCGTTTTTCCGCGAAACTCTGAACAATACATCAACGAGTGCTTCCCAGCACAACATGGGTATCGACCAAGGCTTGTTTGATGACTACGAATAGCCGTGTGCTGAGGCGGCTTTGGAGCTGACTCCTTAGGTTTCACTTTTGCGACAGCAACCATTGCTTCCAGACCCTGAATGCGCTTCTCGAGGAAGGATGTCAGAGCCTCATACTCAGGCAATACGTGTGAAGATGCCAGGGACATCTCCCAGTCCTTAACTGTTACTGGATCTAACTTTTCCGTCACCAGGAAGACGAGCTATGATCGACAGCTATGATAAGAAAGGATATTCCTGGCCTTCTAACGGATTGGATCATAAGCATGTTGAAATCCAGAACTATAATAGCGGAACTAAGAGACAATAGGCAAGCAGTAACTGCCACCCGTGGCTGTCCTCAAGGCGGAGTCTTATCGCCCCTACTTTGGACACTGGTTGTTAAGGAATTCGCGAAAAACTAAATGGCAATGGATTCAAGGCATACGGATATGCAGATGACCTAGTCATCTAGGTTGTCGGCTGGAATGAGGACACAATTTGTTCCAGATTGCAAGCTGCGCTCAGTTTAACGGAAGACTGGTGTGGGATTGTCAATAAACCCTCAGAAGTCCACCGTTGTCCCATTTACCAAAAGAAGGAAAGTCAACTTGACTAAACCCACCTTGGCAGGGACAGAAATTGAGTTCTCAGAAGAGGCGAAGTATCTAGGGGTAACCCTGGCAAAAGGCTCAATTGGAACTCACATCTCCTTAACATTACCAACAAGGCTACAAGGGCGTTTTATGCCTGCCAGAGACTCCATGGTAAAACTTGGGGAATATCGCCCAAACTAACATATTGGTCTTTCAATACGGTCGTGAAACCTGTTGTCACATATGCGGCACTGGCCTGGTGGCCAAAAGAAAAGAAAGCAAGTGCGGGTGCCACCTTGAGCAAGCTACACCGCTTGGTGTGTGTGGCCATCACAGGAGCTATGCGCACCTGTCCAACGGTTGCCCTCGGTTTAATTACAGGCATTCCTCCTCTATCTATTCTGATAGAAAAGAAGGCCTGCTGGGGCTCCATACGGCTGCCCAATGTAATCAGCATGAAGAGTGGAGACCTTTGGGGTCACTTGGAGGTTCTCAATCCTTTTCTGGATGATCCCGCTATCAAGCTCACAGAAATCATGCTACCGAAATTATCCTTTGATAAGCCCTAAAAGGTCAGAATTCCAGAAAGGGACTGCTGTAAAGCGATAATATCTATGATTGACAAAGGGTCCCAAGTATGGTATACCGATGGATCAAAGATGGAAGACGGGAGTACTGGGGCAGGCGTGCTTAGACCAAGGTTCCAGAAAAGTCTGCCAATGGGCTCATATCCAACCATATTCCAGGCGGAGATCTTCGCAGTCGAAGTCTGTGTTCGAGAATTTCTTCGGAGAAGGACAAACGGCCTACGGGACGGGATAGCCAGGCAGGACTAATGGCCTTAGACTCATTTAGAACGACATCAAGGCTTGTGGACAGTTGTAAAACTCTTCTAAATAACCTAGGAGCCCACAATAGAGTTACGCTGTGGTGGGTCCCTGGGCATGAAGGGTTTGAAGGCAACGAAAGGGCTGACTATCTCGCAAAACGTGGGGCCCAAACGCTAATGCATGGTCCCGAGCCTTTCTGTGGTACATCTACAGGATACACTGCAGAACTGCTTAGGAGTTGGGAGGAATCTCAGATTGCTGCCCACTGGCGTAAGTCAAAGGGAATGAGACAATCAAAGAAATTCATAACTCCTTCCAGGAGGAACTCACAAAGACTCCGTGAACTCAGCCGGGAGGGTCTTAGGACTATTACAGGCTATCTGACAGGACACTGCAAATTAAGGTACCATCTGAACAAAATGGAGCTTTCTGTAGAGACGGACTGCAGGTTCTGTGGGCTGGCGGAGGAAACCTCAGAGCACATTCTGTGTGACTGCCCGCGTATTATGAATAGCAGACTGATGCACCTTGGGGAACGATTGTCTTCTCCATCCAAGATTTGGAACACGGCACCCTCCAATGTGCTTAGTTTCTTGAATAGCCTGAGGATGGAGTGACTAC